CCCTCCAACCCCTCTCAAAAAATAGAACATATTAGAAACTCAATGAATACCCCAGAGACAGAAAGGCAGAAGAAATATATTGACATGGAGTTTTATGAACAGCTACTTAAGAAGATACCAAAAATCGAAAGAAAAAATGAAGCCACAAATAAAGGAAATTCCTCAGAGACAGAGAGGAGTCTGAAACCATAAATAGAGCAAATATTCCAGAGATAGGGAGACAGAAGAAATAAATCAACATGAAAGAATGAATAACTACAGAGGAAATTGCAAAAGATAGAAAAAATAATTGAAAATATTGGTAAAGAGGTACAAGAACTTAGAAAATTATCACAAGACAGAAAAAGTACTGCCAGCACAGTAGTGGACATAAAAGAAACACATGAAACAGCAATCCAGAGGGAAATGAAAAAAAAAATATCTCAGTCACAGAAGGACAATTATTGCATAAGGCCACTGTTGTAAAATGGACTGACATCAGGGTTGAAAGAAGACAGAAAAGGAGGGGAGGAATGATTTATAATGCAGTGAAACAGATGAGGGAGAGATCTATTTAAAAGGGATATATGAATGAGTATTCTTGTCATTACAGAAATCCAGAGTGAAGGCTGCATAGTGGAATAAACTTGGGGGGAGGAATTGCATAACAATGAAAGAGTTTTTTTCTTTTCAAGAAGAGTGATTGGGGGAAGAAAGTGTGGGCAGGGAGAAAAGTGCAACAATGAATGACTGGAAATCCTAAGTTTCTGTAAACTTTCATCAAAATTAATAATTTTTTTTAAAAAGTAATGGTCCACAAGACACAGAGACAAAGCAAAACGGTGGGAACAAGGTGAAGCATAGAGGAGCAGCAGGAGAAGCAGAGGTCAGAGCTGTCTCCAGGAACCCTTGGAGACTAAGTCCCCAGCAGGGGTGGTGGGACAGCACACCAGCATGTACTGTGGCCATGAACACTGCTGTCTAGTTACATCATATGTAAAGGTGGTACTTCTTAAGCACAAGCAGAAGAAGCAGAGGTCAAGCTGCAGTTTCTGGAGGGAAACAGACTTCTCTGTTTTGCCATTAACATACTGTGGCCATGAACACTGCTGTCTAGCTACATCACATGGAAAACATGGGACTTCTTAAGTGCAAGCAGAGAGCCATGGTTTCTGAAGGGAAACAGACATCCCACTTCGGGCCTTGGAGCAAGAGGGGAAGACCAATATACAGTTCCTTAACAAAACATTGCAATTCCTTGGGCCATTATATAGTTACAACAACCTAACATCTAAAAAGAAAAGACTGACATAATCTCAAAAAAGCAACAATCTCCCTCAGTCATCGTGAGAAAGATCAAAATAACCCTTCTAAAAAAACAGACACCAGATAGAGGGTATCAGAAGAAATATATTGATGTGGAGTTATTTGAACACATACAGAAGAAGATGTAAATGATGGAAGAAACAACAGAAGCCATTAAGTAAGCAAATACCTCAGAGGCATCGATTCAGAAGAAATATATTGCTGAGGAGAAACTTGAACATCTACTGAAGAAAATGCAAAAAATGGAAGAAAGAATTGATAATACAGATAAAGATATTGGAAAACTTTTGAAAAAATCATCACAAGACAGAGTATAGCCAACACAGCACTGTAAATAACAGATAGACATGAAAACACAATCTAGAATATTAATACTGAAATGGCAGAAGTGTCCAACATGCTGATGGGACAAAACAGTAGAACTGAAGAGATTGGACAGAGAGTCAGTGATTTAGATGAAAAGTATCTCCATGAGAACATACTAGAAGAGAAAATAGAAAGGAGATAGGAGGAAAATGAAGAAAACAATAAAATCATGTGAGATGACATCAAAAGGAACAATACACATATGATTCGAATTCCAGAACACAGGAGAGACAAGTAAGGCACTGAGAAAATTGTGGAAGAAGCAATAAAAGAAAACTTTGCAGAATTTATGAAGAACAGGAAAATCCACATTCAGGAAGCTCAGCAAACACCAAATAGATTCGACCCAAAAAAGGAAAACATCAAGACATATTATAGTCAAATTCTCCAAATTAAAAGATAAGAAGAGAAGGCTAAAAGCAGCACAAGAAATACAAAGAGTCACCTACAAAGGAGAAACAATTAGATTAAGTTCTGCTTTCTCAGCAGAAATTATGGAGGCTAGAATTTAAGGAATTGTGAAAACAAGACCAAAACTACAAGAAATATTAAGCGAAGTCCTTCACATAGAGACACCAAAGGAAAATGCATGGACTATTTTAAGCAGAAATTACAGAAAAAGAAGCAAAATGGCACAAGTAAAACTTGGCGTGACAATAATCACACTTAATGGGAATGGACTAAATGCACCAATTAAGAGAAAAAGAATAGCAGAATGGATAAAAAGACAAAGCCCATCAATATGTTGTTCACAAGAGACACATCTGAAAAATGGAGAGGAAAACAGACTCAAAATCAAAGGCTGGGCAAAAAAAATATACCAAGCATTTGGCAACCGTAAAAAGCAGAAGTGACAATACCAATCTCTGATAAAATAGACTTAAGAATGAAAAACCACCATAAAGGATAAGGAAAGGCATAACCTTGGTCAACACTTATACAACAAATGATAGACCTGCAAAATACATAATGCACCTGCAAAATACCATGGCAGTCCATGGTACATTCAATACTCTTCTCCAGCACCACAGCTCAAAGGCATCAATTCTCCTTCTATCCTCCCTAGTCATTGTCCAACTATCTGATGCATAACAAGGGGATTAGTGTCTTGAAACTACTAGATCCACAGGAGACAGATTTTGTACTGGAAAGACTTCGGTAATCATTATGGAACCTGATCTTTCTGCTGTGTAGCGTGACAGCCTTGCCTGCTGAAACTGAAGACCTGAAGCACTTGCTGCAAAAGGTCAAGAATATGCCTGCAATATGGATTGAAGCCCAACATCAAGAAGACAAATATTCCCACCACTGGGCCAATTGGCAGCACCATAATAGATGGAGAAGAAATTGAGGTTGTTAACAATTTTAGTTTGCTTTCATCCACAATCAACACTCTTAACACCAGCAGTCAGGAAATCAAAAAGATGAATTGCTGTCAGGAACCTCTCCAGAGTGCTGAAGAGCAGCAATGTCAGTCTAGATACAAAGGTGCGCCTAATCCAGGACATGGTCTTCTCAATTACTTTTTATTCTTCAGAGAGTTGGACAATGACTAAGGATGACAGAAGAAAAATAGATGCCTTTGTGTCATGATGCTGGAGAAAAATCTTGATCATACCATGGACTACCAAGAAAATAAATCAATCTGTCTTGGAGAGGATGAAAAAAAGTCTCTCCTTGGAGTCTAGGATTTTGAAGCTCTTTCTTACCTTGGGCACATGGCCAGGAGAGAGATTGGTCCTTGGAAAAGGCCATCATGCTCAGAAGGGTGGACGGACAGTGCAGGAGTGGAAGATCCCGGATGAGATAGTAACTGGGGCAATGGGGGTTGGTGTGTCGGAATTAGCGAGATTGGCTCAGGACAGGGATGGGTTCAGAGCTGCTGCACGTAGATAGGGTTGCTATGCATCACAGGTGACTCAACCAAAAACATTCAATGACAGGTTTGGAAGCAGGAGTGGAATCCACTTCCTAAACAATTTGCCTCCGGAAACTCGACGAACTTTGATAAATGTCGGTAGTTGTAGAGGGGCTTCAGGCCTTTTGTTCATAAGGTCGCCATGAGTTGTGCTCCACTCGACGACATTCAACAACACAACAGTGTGACTAAACTGCACAGTGATTTCCAAGGTGATTTTAAACCTTTCAGCTAATAGCCACGTGCTATTACCACTGTTCCCTTCCTTATGATTTGCTTTATGCCATAAGATCCATTTTCCTATAAGTTATTGGGTAACGATGAGGCTGATATGAGTTGCGATCCTGTAAATAGCCAGACAACAAAGAGGAAATACTTGTATAATATTCTGCAAAACTTGTTCCCTAATATGGTTCATTTTGGTCAAACCATACTTGATCCTGAATCCAAGGTGATTGTAGCATGTTTTTATGTAAGCCATAGACAAAGTATGTATTTCCTGAGTATAAATAAAAAACAATAATAAACACTGCAACTGCTGGTGTTTTTAAGGGTAATGTTGAAGATCAGACAAGATGAGGCACGTGACAGTAAAACTTAAAACTTAAACTTATTAATTGATTCTATCTTCAGATGACTCCATATGTGTGAGAGTAGAAATGGTTTCATAGGGATTTTAAGGATTAACAAAAAAAAAGAAGAAGAAGGCTATCAGTTCTTTCTTTTGGGCTGCTTCTGAGTGGCCTAGACCATAAACATTAACTTTTCTGAGTAGCCAAGTGTATTAACCATTTGTACCATGCACGGGAACTCTAAAGTATGTACAGTACTATCTAGTGGTGAAGTCTAGGGCAGTCACAAGGACAAATTTTAAGTGTTCTCAAGTATCTGAATAAACCGAGTCAAATAAATAGGCCAGAAGCTCACATGGGTATAGGGAAAGGGGACACAGATCATTGGTACAATTTTATAATGTGCTTTTAGTGGTAAGAAGTTGTGCTGAAATACCAAAGGCAAGCAGTTCAAATACACAAGGTGTTCTGCTGGAGAAGGATCAGCAATCTCCCCTAGCACAATTAACTGCCTCTCGAAACCCACCAAAAGATCAGCTATGGGTCAATTTCAACTCCATGGTATGCAACAGCAACAGGGTTTACAAAGCATTTTCCATCCATTATTTCCTTTGACTCTTACAGAATCTGTCTTTAGGAATGGATGGATATTCATTTCATGAATGAAAAGGCAAACAATTTATAATGTAAAGGATCAACTGAGGAGACAGCAGAGCTGGGATTTGGATTCAGTTTCAGCTGAATTTTATTGCTTTCAGAGGAACTTCTTCTGCCTGCTTTTTCACAGGCACTGTTATCTTCAGGATACATGCCATGGTTTGTGCTCTCTCCTAGAATTATCACTCCCGAGGAATAGCACAGATCCGGTAACTGACAGGTGAGATGGCAGCACTTATTTTAGCTTTTAGGCTCAGCTTCTCATTGGCTGGGGGCCTGAAGGTAAATTTTTGCAAAAAGGAAGTGAAGAAAATGAACAGCTCAGCCCTGGCCAGCTGTTCTCCAAGGCAAACTCGTTTTCCTGAAAGGCAAAAACATGAGACTGAATTATCTTCCTGCTGAACTGGAGATAGGTGGAAGGCAAGACGTGACAGTTCTTTCTCTGTTCACGTTTGCAGGAAGGATGCAGGGGGAGGATTTCTGTCGTTGCCAGGCGCCTCCTCCACTTATTGTTGTTGTTGAAGATTGCTTTCGAGCTGAGCAGGACTCATAGCGACCTTGTGAATAAAGGCCTGAAGCCCCTGTATAACTACCAACATGTGTCAAAGTCCATAGAGTTTCCAGAGGCATGTTGTTTAAAAAGTGGATGCCGCTCCTGCTTCCAACAACAACAGTTGGGGAGGGGCCTGACAGGGACAGAAATCCTTCCCCCATCTCCTTCCTGCAAAGATGAGCAGAAGAATAATTTTCATATCTTGCCTTCCACCTATCTCTAATCCAGCCCCACTCCACACTTCTATTTACAGATAATAGTTTAAGTCTTTTAACTGCGTGAGTGACCTTAACCTAAGGCATATAGTAAGTCCCCATTATAAACTCAAATGTCTTTGAAGATCAAATAGAAGTACAGGAGGTGCAGGGGGGGAAAAAAAAAAAAAAAAAAAAAAAAAAGAAGGCCTGGGTTTTCTAGAAGGTGGTTAGAAGCTTAAAGTCCTTTCAAAGATTAACAAATTACCATTAGAAAAGTAGATGACAAAACAATAAAGAATTAAATTTCCAGTCTTTGGAGGCAAAGATGGTGAAGCTTTGTCTTTCATACTTTGGACATGTTGTTAGGTGAGGCTATTCCTTGGAAAGGGACATCATGTTTGGAAAGATGGAGTGCTGATCTCATGGACTGCCAAAAGAATAAACAGATGTGTCTTGGAGAAGGTGCATCCAGAGTGCTCCCTAAAGGTAAAGATGATATACTTTTAGTCTCACATGCTTTGGGCATGTTGCTAAGACGGGGCCGTTGCTGATGTCCAATGGATCTTGTCAGAAAGTCGACAAGACCAGAAGGGTGCATATTTCTGTTTTAGTGACTATGCAAAGGCATTTGACTGTGTGAATCACAGCAATTTATGGCTAAACTTGAGAAGAATGGGAATTCCAGAACACTTAATTGTGCTCATGCAAAATCTATACTTAGGCCAAGAAGCTATTGTATGAACAGAGAAAGGGAACACTGCATGGTTTAAAATCAAGAAAGGTATGTGTCATGTCTATATTCTCTCTCCATTCCTATTCAAACTGTATGTTGAACAAATTGTTAAAGAAGATGGAGTCTTTGAAGAATATGGCATCTGGATTAAAGAAAACACTCATCAACAACCTACGTTATTCAGATAACACAACTTTGTTTGCTGAAGGTGAGGGCTTGATGCCCTTAATTACAGAAGATCATGGGCTACAGTCTTCAATGTGGATGACATCTCAATATCTTAAAAAACAAAACTCCTCACCACCAGGTTAATAGGTAACAAAGTTCAGCCTAGAACATAATCATCGATTTGGAGCTAGAGAAGAGATTAAAGTTATAAGCAATTCCATCTTCTTTGGATCCATCAAAAACACCCTTGGTACCAGCAGTAAAGAAATCAAAAGATGAGTCTCATTGGGCAAATACCTCTGCCAGGTACCCCTCCAACATGCTGAAGAGCAATTATATCAGTTGAAAGACTAAGCTGAACATGATCCATGCCATGGTCTTCTCAATGTTTTCTATACATATGAAAGTTGGACAGCGATGAAGGACAACAGCAAAAGAATCAATGTCAGTGACCTATGGTGTTAGAGAAGAGTCCTGAATGAATGAATATCCATGAATATCCCATGGGCCACCAAAGGAACAAATAAGTCTGTGTTTAAGAAAATGAAGTCAGAAGGCTTCTTGCAAGCAAGGAAGGTGAAACTTCATCTCACACACTTTGCACATGCTGGCTACTTCTTAGAAAAATACACCATGCTTGAGATTGTGAAGGGTCAGCAAAAGAGAGAAAGATTCTCAATGAGATGGACTGGCAGAGTGACTATAACAATGGGCTTAAGTATTCCAGAGATGATGAGGACGAAGCAGGATAGGGCAGGCTGATAGGGTTCTTCTGTTCATAGTGTTACTATGAGTCAGAGTCAACTTGATGAGACCCAGACCTAACAATGGCAACATATTACTATTATCATCTCATCAAGAGCTCCTATTAAAACTTTCAACATTTGTTCCAATAAAATTCCTTTATTTTGGAAGAATCCGGTTCTGAGCCATGTGTTGCATTTAGCAACAGCCTAGGAAAATTCTTCAGTCTTAATGTTCATGACTTTCCCATTTCTTGAGTGCTGTGACCTTGATTCTGACACACAGTGATCACGGGACAAGAGTGGTATTGCCTTATGGAGTTTTCTTGCCTGTAATATTTGTGAGCTAGTATTCAGGTCCTTTCCCCATGGACTGACTGGATGGGTTGAAGCTACTAATCTTTGGTAAACAGATTAGTACTTAGTCCCAATGCCATCAACGTTCTTTTTTACATAATGGTTATTTTTGTTAAATGTCTTTTATCGTTCTATGAGGATTAACTTCAAGTTGAAGATCTTTGGTAGCAATGTCATCAAAGTGACAGATACTAGGTTCATAGCACCTCATCTTACCAGATGGTAATGTTTTGATATGACTTACTGGTGCTGTTAACTACGGCCATAGATTACCCTTTATAAAATTATTATTTTTACTTTTGTAATTAATATATGTTTTGAGACTGTGTAAATAATATTACTCATGGAACTTTATTCCATTCATTTTAACATCCATTTATTAGCCAACTAATTTACTTTTACTATTATGATTACTGATGGTGATTTTGAAAGTCCATGTTCATTAGCTGACATAATGAGAGGCTCTCCTCACCAATTATTTAATTATTTGTTAATTTCTAGCACATGCATGCACACAATCCTACTTTTACTCTGTTCTTAACAATATTTGCTAGTATTTTCTGAATTTGGACACTAATAAGTAGTTAAATGTCTGAAATACACAAGGAACCCAAAGCCTAGAGAAATTGATCTAAATAATAGAGTTCTAACTTAGCATACAAAAAATTTTTGTTATTGACTTTACAATGTTATGAGCTAAGCATAAAAAACAAGAAGCAGACAAAAAAATCTACTGGAACTAACTGACTAATTTAGAAATATGAGTTTTCCCTGTAGCCTGTTCTTTACATTTCACTTTGTAGACCACATAAAAGCATCCATCAGAGTTTAGAATGGTTACTCAAAGTTAATAAGATGAAAAAAATCTCTGCAGGGAGAGTTTATAGAGTAGATTCAGATAGTTTTTCTACTGTTGCTTTCAGGTACCACTGTGTTGACTAAAATTCATAGTGATTCTATGAACACATCTGACCAGTGCTCGATCCTATCCTATCCTTATGATCTCTGATGTGTTAGAGTCCATTGTTATAGTTACTATGTTAGTACATCTTGTTGTGGGTCTACCTTTTTTCTCTGACACTACACCTTTTCATATATGCTCTTTTCTCCTTCCTGGCCACATGCCGAAAGTATGTTAAATCAAGTTTCACAATCCTTGTGCATAAGTTGCACCATGGTTTTTTTTCCTCCAATACAGATATATTTCTTCTTTTGGCAGTCCATGGGGTATTCAGTATTCTTATCTAATATCACAACTCAAAGGCATTGATTCTTCTTCTGTCATCTTTGTTCATTGTCCAACTTTCAGATACATAAGAAGTAATTGAAAAGACCATGGTTTGCATCAAGTGCACCTTTATTTTTAACGTCTATTTGTATGTTTATTTTTAATTTTATGGGTTTTTTAAATGTTTATTTTTGATGTCTTTACACTTTAGCACTTTGCAGAAGTCCTTGACAGCAGATGTTCCCAATGCAGTACTTCTTTTCATTTCTTAACTGTTACTACCATAGGTGTTGATTGTAAATTCAAGTAAAATTAAATCACTGACAACTTCTGTCTTTTCTCCATCTAGTATGATGCTGCCCACTGGAACAGTGGTGAGGACTTTTGTTTTCTTGATGTAGAAATGTAATCTATATTGAAGGCTGTAGCCCTTGATCTTCTGCAGGAAATGTCTCTAGTCCTCTTCACTTGCAGAAAGCAGGTTGTGTCATCTGCATAATACAGGCGTTGATGAGTCTGCCTCTGATCCTGATGCCACATTCTACTTCATATAGTCTGGATTCTTGAATGATTGGCTCAGCCTACAGATTAACTAGGTATGGAGAAAGGATACAATCCTGACACAATTTTTGCTGATTTTGAATCATGCAGTGTTCCTTTCATGTTCTGTTCTGACAGCTGCCTTTTAGTCTATGTATAAATTTCCCATGAGCACAATCAAATGTTCTGAGATTCTCATTCCTTGCAGTGCTAACCCTAACTTGTAATCAGATTTGTAATCTGCATCATCAGTAAAACTCAAGTAAACATTTCTCTTGTATTTTCTGCATTCAGCCAGGATCCATCTGATATCAACAATGATATACCTTTTACCATTTCCTCTTTTAAGTCCAGCTTGAATTTCTGGCAGCTCCCTGTGGATGTCCTGTTCCAACAATTTGGTGTTTTTAATAACTACTAGCAAGATTTTACTTCCATGTGTTATTTTTTTTCTTTCATGTGTAATTAATGATAGTGTTCATTAATTTCAACAATGTGTTGGATCACCCTTCTTGAGAGTGGGAACCAATATGGATCTCTTCTAATCAGTTGGTCAGGCAGAGGCTGGTGAGTACATCCAAAGCTGTATCTGTTTTCCAAAACACCTCAACTGGTATTCTATCAATTCCTTGGGTCTTAATTTTTGCCAATGCTATCAATGCAATTTGAACATCTTTCTTCATTAGCACTAGTTCTTGATCATACACTAGCTTGAAATGGCTCAGCATAAACCAGTTTTTTTAATTAAGTCTCTTGAAGTATTCCTTTCATTATCTCTTGTTGCTTCCTGCATCTTTCACATTATACCCACTGAACCTTCAAATTCAATTTAGTTATTGATATTTACAGTCAGTGTCTGATACCTATGATGACAAATAATCCCCTTGCTTTTCCCCCTCCCTTTTTCTTCACTAGGACCCGTTTCAGTATCTGCATGGCTGCCTTAAAAATGACTTGATTCCACTTCTATAAAGATGGCAGATGCCCAAATATCTTTTTAAAGAAGGAGTTAAGACCTGAGCGTCTCTGTGCCCCATTATAGCTGAGGTGGGGTGCAGGGATGGGAGCATGGGTAGCAGAAGAAAGTGAGAAAGCTGAAATCTCCATCAGAGGCAAGGGGCAAGGGAGGAATTAGCAGATTAGGTAAAGTTTAAAGCAATGTCCCAGCCCAGGGATTTACTCCTATAACTTACCAAGGTGGAGTCACATTGGGTGAGACTAACCAGAGACATTTCTACTAAAGAAAAGAACCGCAGGGAACAGAGTTGGGGTAGGCTAACAGAGAAACTCTGGAACTTTTCATTCCTCTTGATTACAACTTACCTACTGAAAAGGGCAGAAAAGATTCCCTTTTCTTAAATTTTCCATTCTCCAGAAAGTGCTCTGGATTGAATGTGTCAGGGGTGGCCCACTCTTTGGGGTCCCTGTGCAGCGCAGTCAGATTGGTCATGATCATGGTCCCCTAGAGAAGGCAGCAAAGAATCAGGTAAGGCTGGACTCGTGACACATCTACACAGAGGGTGGCTTGGTGGATACAGAATACTACGTTCCTTCAGCAAAACTCAAGCTCATCCCCATCAGAACCAACTCAATATCTGAACCAACTGACTCAGTGAGTTTTCAGAGACTGTTCATTGTAGGAGAGGAGAGTCGCTATCTTTTTTTCTGTGGAGCAACTAACAGACTTGAACCACCTCTCTTTTATCTAACAACTAACTAGGCCAAAAAAGCACCCTACTATTTCAGTAGCCCAACACATAACTCACCAGGGCTGAGTATCATTTTGTCCACTTGTGCATGAGGGCTGACTGTAAGGCAGCTATACTAACAACTGCTGAAGAAAATGACAAAATAGAAGCAAGACCTCTGCCTTGGAGTACATCAAAATTCACTGAAACCAGCAATCCACGATATGTTAAATACTCTTTTTTAGCACTGTTACTCAGACATCAATTCTTCTATCATCCTTAGTAATTTTCAGCTCTCTGATGCACAGTAAGTAATTATGAAGGCCATGGCCTGGATCAAGCACACCTTAGTTTCTAGACTGACACTGTTGCTTTTAAGTACTGTGGAGAGGTCCCTGATACCAGATTTTCTGAAAGCAATTAATCTTTTGAATTCCTAACTGATAGTATCAAGAATGTTGGTTGTGGAGCCTAGCAAGCTGAAATTTTTAACTAAGGTGTCCCTGATGCAGGCCATGGTTTTCACAATCACTTGCTGTGTATCAGAGAAGTGAACAATAACAAAGGATGATAGAAGAAGAATCGATGCCTTTGAATTGTGGTGCTGGAGAAGAGTATTAAACATACTATGGACAGCCATGAAAATAAACAGGTCTGTCTTGGAGAGGATGAAACCAAGTTTCTCACTGGAGGCTAAGATTTGAAGCTCTTTCTCATATACTCTGGGCATGTGACAAGGAAGGACTGGTCCTTGGAAAAGGACCATGCTTAGAAGGATAGAGAAGAATATTATGTTTGGAAGGGTGGAGGGACAGCACAGGAGAGGAAAACCCTAGATGAGATGAATCGACATATAGTGACTGGAGTAATGACGGTACGTGTGTTGGAGTCAGCGAAATTAGCTGAGGACAGGGCAGGCTTCAAAGCTGTTGTGCATAGGTCACTATGAGTCCCAAGTGACTTGATGGCACATAAAAACTGCAACATATAGATTGAAAACATATGCAAACAGGATGTATCCCTGATGTATTCCTTTCTGGTTTTGATGGAGTTCTGGTCTAGTGGGAAGAAGCTGCGCTGCAATCCTGAAAGCTCATGGTTCAAATCCATCAGCTTCTCTGAGGAAGAAAGAGGGGCAATCTCTTCCTGTGCAACGAATTGCCTGTGAATACCCACCAGAGGGTCAGCTATGGGTCAATTCTGACTCTATGGTTTGACAACAGACATTGAAGGGGCCAAAAATTGAATCAGAGTCCCTCACATTGAAGCTGACAATTCTGTCACTAGCCACAAGCAATTTTCAATGCAAATTAGTACAATAAAATCTCTGAGAACACCACAGCAAAGAAATGTAAGTCTTTCTTTAAACTTATACGACTACCAAGCTCAAGGCCCAAAGTCAGTGCCATTGAGTCAGTTCCAACTCATCGTTATCCTCCTCCGGTTTGGAAGGCTGTAAATTGCAATAAGAGGAGTCTGTCTTTGGGTTAGCGGCACAATTGAATGTGATCTGTGCCACCAGAGTTCCTTTTCTTTGGTCACAGAAATCGTGTTCTCCAACCCTTACCCCCATATTTATTAACATTTAGTTGTATTTATGACTAAAACTATACTTGGGGGGGGGGAAAGAGTAGTATTTTATCAGTTCCAGCACATGACTTCTTTCTTACTTGAGTGAGTCCTTAGGATATATGCCACTTTTCCAGTTTAGATTCCTATTTTTGAAAAAGACAAGCTCAAAGACCTGAGGCTGAGAGTCCCTAATTACCTTAGGCAGGTAGTATCCAGCCACCGTGGTATCAAATGCCACTTCTCTGGCTACATTCAATGGTATAATGTCACCCATTCTTTGCACCTCATGGATGACAGCATTAGTGTAAGGCATTTGGTCTCGGTGGTCTGTGCTGGGGCGCTGTGATTGGCCAAGTACTCTGTCAATTTCAGCTTGTACTTTCTCTGGAAAGGAAGAGAAAGTTCTATTATTTTTGAAACATTTATACTTCCAAAGATGTGTATCTGATTTCCAGAGTCAAAATGATTTCAGTTAGTGTTCAGGTTAAATAATATGCTATTTCAATTACTGATATTTTAAATACAAACAGGGTCACTTATGGTTGAAGATTATGAATAGCAATGCAACATTTTTTTTTCTTATACTGTGGTGTTGGACTAAAGCTTGGATTTTTTTTTTTAGTTAGTTAGCCTTTGATCTCCAGCTACCTTAACTGAAGACACATGGTCTTGTAAATCAGAATTGTCTTGTGAATAAGCATCAGCTGTGGAACTAAGATAAGTGAAGGAGTGATTCCCGTGCTAAGCAGCAATACGTGAGGTGAGAAAGACTTAAAGCAAGATTTGAGGCTAGCAAGGCTTGTGGTGACAAGACCCGGGGGAGAGTGAGACCCTGGTGATGGAGAGATTGTGGCATTGCTGTGGACAAACGGTGGCAAGGTGTGACCTGAGGCTTCTTGCATTTGTGCTGGCCACAGTTAGATTTTGCTATTCTTGTCTTTGATGACGGAAGGAGAAGCTGCTTGCTGCATTGAAACCGAAGCCTAGACTAATTGAGGAGTTGTGCCTTGAGATTGTTGGGCTAACCCTGGACTTATCTGAGGTGATATTCTTGGCCTCCTCCACTTTCCTACTTCCTTCCCTAGTAAACCTCGTTTTGGTACTATAACGGTAAGTTTGTGAGTCAGCAACGAATAAATAAACCTCTGCTGCTGGGGCTCTAGAAGCAACACGGAACAGAGGTATGCACTCCTGATCTGCTTTTTACTCTGGGACGGTGAGGGCCTGTATTATCCTCTTTTACTCTGGTCCTTTCAGAGAAAAGCTCATGGTCTTGTGCATCTATGTCCAGTTTTCTCCTGTTTAGACAATGACAGAAGATGAGGCTTCAGGCTGGAAAGGTTCTCAAAATATGACTTGGATAGAGATGCCTCCTTAACATGGAGTCTACAGTAACAAAATGAAAGCATAAAACTTTCATGCAATGAAGGACTTTCATTTGGCACAACTCAAGTAAAAACAGCTACAAACATCCATTAAAATTAGAATTACCTCATCCGTTTCAATGCAGTATGCATAATTTATCCAGTTTTTCTCATTCTTACCCCAACCCTGATGTCAGTTCTATTCTACAGCAGTGGCACTATGCAGTGTTTGTCCTTTTGTGACTGAGATATTTCATTCAGCATAATGTCCTCCAAGGTCACCCATTTTGTATAATATTTCATGAGTTCCTTATTTTTCAATGCAGCATCGTATTCCGTTGTGTGAATATACCACAGCTTCTCTCTCCATTCATTTGCTGATGGGCACTTAGGTTGTTTCCAACTCCTTGCTATTGTGAACAAAGCCATGATAAACATGGGTGTGCATATATCTGCTTGGATGGTGCTCATGGTCTCTTTAGGGTATATTCCCAGTAGTGGAATTGCTGGGTCAAATGGTATCTCTATTTGCAACTTTTTGAGAAAGCACCACACCGCTTTCCACAGAGAACAGTTTAAAAGCAACATATTATAGGGCATTATGATTATCATAAGATTCTGGAATGAAGGTTGCACAGTGGAGTATACTTGGGGTGGGAGTGGAGGGTGCAGGGGGATTATATACTAATGAAGGGATTTTTCTTTTACTTTTCAAAGAAAAGAGCGAACTAGGGGTGGAGGGGGTGGCCGGGGAGAAAAGTGCAACAATGAATGAATGTAAATCCAAAATCTCTGAAAATGTTCATTGAAATTAATAAAAAAAATAAAATAGAACTACATGTAAGATTAATGAAACTAGGAAAATTGGAAGTTGTAAAAAATGAACTGGACCTATAATTTATTGCTTCACATATAATTACACATCTACATCATACCCGGTGTTTTATATAACCATTTGCTTATATTATGTTTTAGAGAAGTAATTACCTTGTTTCTGTGCCCATTATCACCTCTTTCCAAGCCCTCACTGAAAAGTTCTCATTAATTCATTTACTCCTTCCCCCTACTAATTTCTGCTATCCCAGGGATCTTACTTTCTTCCCTTTTTTCTGCCCATCTTTTCTCCTTTCCCTTTTGAACATTTATTCCTATCTTACTCAGTTATCCTATTTTCACAATAGTGCTTTAAACAGTATTTGTTCTCCTGTGACGAGAGAAGTTTTAAGATCAATACTATTATTGATAGAAAGATCTGCTAATACAACTATTATTTAAATATTTACATCAACACCTAAAGC